CAAACCTGCTTAATATCTTCCTTTCTTATTGATTGCCAAATAAGGAAGTTTTGAAGTAAACACTGAATTAATACCAACATCTTGTATGATATCATTTTTTCCAAACAATTTATATATATAAAAGTTGTATCCTGCTTGATATTTATACTTTTAAATTTGATAACCTATACTAACCAGTTCCATAACTAAAGTATCTATTAGGAAATTAAGGAACTTGGGAGCTTGCTTAGTATAGCTTATATAATTCTTAAGAAGTCATGCTTCACTTGGCCACAAAAGTTCCTAGATTTGATAGTTAAGTATCAACCAGCAGATCAAAATCAAAGTATTTATTAGGGAGTATATATATTATATTGTCAGTCTTCTCTTATAAGATACATAAGCAAAAAAGTATGAGTAATAAGTAACTTAGATAAGCAATCAGCAGTACCCACTGCTCTTGCAAATAATTGGACTGGTAGGTTAGATAGTTTAAAACTAATAATAGAATTTTCATTTTCTAAATAGGTTCCTTTCAAAAAATATGAATCCATTTTATAAATATCATTAATATTGCTGAGGTAATAGAGTAAAATAAGCTAACATTTATCTATAGTTTAGTATTACAGATGATATTTGATGTATTATTTAGATATTTATATATATATCAATAAAGATTGGTATCTAATACCTATTTTATTATAAAATAATAATAATTATAATTATTGAAATTGTTAAGTTTAAAAATTCTTTTTAAAAACTTTTAATTCATAAAAAATTTCTTTTTTAAATAATATATCAAAAATAATGGATTAGTAAATGATTTTATAATCTTAAGTATATCTTTTTTTTGAAAAAAAAAACAATTTAAGATCTATATTATAAGATATAAGAATTCTAATTAACTTCTAATCAAGAGATGAAAGCTTTGGAAAAGGCTAAAACTTATATAAACAAATTTTTGCTTTATTGAAATAAAACTTAATAAGTTTTTACTAAGAAATTCTTTTTATATGCTTTTAAATACTCTTTTTAAAAAATATATTAAAACATATTTAAATGATACTTAAATATAATATTTTATTTTTTATAGTTTTTGTTTTCTGCCTAGTCTATTCTCTTCTTCTTGAAAATTTTACAATCAAATACTGAAATCAGTTTATCCATATCAAAAAATCTACAATCTATCAAACACCAATCATATTCTATATTACAAAATAAAAATCAAAACAACATATAATTATAATATAAAAATCAAAACAACAATAATATAATTATAACAAAAATCAGAATAATAACATCTTTCTTATTATAAAACATCAATTATATATCTTATTTAATATTATATATTTAAGAAATATATAAATAATTTCATCATATAATTATTTTCTTTTCTTTAATTAAACTTTCTATATTTTCTTTATAATATAATAATCCTATCTATATGTGTTCATATTACTATAAAAGAAAATTTGATCAATAATACGATTTCAAATTAAATATGAATTTCAATTATTTACTATATATTATTTAGTAATTCTATTATAATATGGTTTTTGAAAAATGGTTAAATTCAATTTCATTACATGTATAATTCTATCCAAAATGTATTTTTTTTTTTTTTTTTTTTTAATAGAATGGCATTAGATATACTGATTTTATTGAATAATCATTAATTTATACATATATATCAAACATTGTCTATTGCTATTATAATAGTTAAATACTAGCCTATTTATTTTTGTTACCCTAGTAATATCAATGCCACTCTTGGAGTGGATTTATATTTTTGGAGGGACCTATCTAGGGGATGGAAATTCTACCATTAGTTTTAAACCATCCAACCTACCGGTCCAATTTTTGTATTAGGGCAATAAATACTGCTAACTATTTCCTAAGATTACTTATCACATCATATCTTTTCGTTCACACAGCTTATACTTTGGCAAGGGCCCCTGCTGGATATGTTCTTTAATGAATTGCTCTGATTTTAACTGTTGATTGGCTTTTAACTACCAAATCCAGGAGCTCTTATAGCTAAATGGAGCATGACTCCTTAAGGGATTCCTTTTCCAAGTGTCCTATGTTCTTCCAAGAAATTTCTTATTCTCCTAATAGACACTCCATGCAGATCCGGTTGGCTTAAGCTGCCAAATCTAGGGGCATAAATACCAAGCAGGGCACAACTTCTCACAGTTTAAACTGACGATTAGCATGCCTTACAAGAATGATGACGATATAGTGATCTTCTTCAAAGCTTTCTTATTCATTAGCCAGCAGAGAGTTTGCTATATGGGATTGGATAAGATGAAGTATAGTCCAGTCTGTATATTCAAATGAATGGTTGTGGTTGATAGTTAATAAGGGTTAGATAAGATGGAGTACAGCCCAGTCTATATATCCAAATATGTGATGACACCTTTCATTAGACAACCATCATAACACCAATCAGATGATCAATACACTACTACATCTTAAAAGGGAGATCACAATCTCAATGCCTACTGAATCAGCATGTGAAATGGTTTCTTATGAGAAACAGCACATAATTGGCTATGATGCCAGATACCATGTTAATCTATTCAATCACCTTCATATAGGATTGAACTGGTATCTTGTGATCTGACCTGTGGGAGCACTAACCACTGTGCTATGGACCTACAGGTTTGTATTTTTTATTTTTATTTTTTTACTATTATAATAAATTATAATAAATCTATTGCTTTAATATTTCTTATTTTATGTAATAGAAAACAATAACTTTTCAAAAGAGACATTTGTATTGGTTAAGAATTCTTATAATAATACAAATTAATTTATCAATTTTGCATTTCAAGTAATAACTTCTTGTGTAATATTTCTTAAATTTTGATATAACCTCAAGATTAATATTAAATAATGAAATCTTTCTATAAGTTGAGATTATGCAATACATATCTTTCTTACTACCCATTTTTAAATATTTCTGTTACTTTTATATTTTCTATTATATACAATTTATACTTTATATACTCGATATAGTTGATATACTGTGATAAAATAAGTTATTTTATAGTGTTACATTATTATTCTTTTTTTTTTTCTTCACAGAGTTAAAAAATTGGACTTTCGAATAAGTGGTAACAAAATTTATTTATTAGAGATATACAAATATAAGATTTTGAATTCAAATAGTATAAACTATTCCACCCGTATACATCACTTTATTTTTCTTCGCCATAACATTTAATGCAGCTTCTGCCTCTTCTTTAGAAAATTTCTGATCTTCCGGCAAAGTCTCATTAATTTCTTCCATCAAAGAATCAAAGAGTTTTTGACCATCGAAATCCGACCTTGAAGTCACTTGATGTAACAAATCCTGGAATTGTTTTAATCTATAAAATCAAAAAAGAGGTTAATAGGTTTGGATTCATACATTTAGTTTTAAGAAAGATGCTTGAATTACCTTGATGAAGTTATTCCGTCAATTTCATTTAAGTCTAGAGTATCGAAACCGAGAATACTGTCAGCTCTATTTTGCGGTTCATCAGTATCCATCGGATGATTCATTGAAGACGATGAACCGGCTTGATTTGAAGCTTCATCCTCTCGTTCATCACCGATAATAAGTGCGTTTTCGGTTGAAGAACCTTGTTGATGCAACTCTGCATCACTTGATGAATCTATGTTTGATACCGCCCTATCTTTTCTTGAAATTCTTGGTCGGCGACTATAATAAGAAACAATATATATAAATGAATTTGAGTTAAAAAGTATAAAAGAAAGAAAAAAATTTTTTTACATACTTCTGTTTTTTTTTTATTTTTCTGCTTTCTATAATATCTATAATGTCGTCGTTAGGAGAGCTGCTATCGTCACCAGAAGAGTCGTCTTCCTCATCGTCCGATATTACAGTTGGCTTATGTTTTTTATTGCGTTTTTCTTCCACCTTTTTAAACAAAGCGAACTTTACTATTTCTTCAGCCACCAAAGCGTCAGCTTTGGTGACGGTTCGTGCAAGTCGTGCTTTTGCATGTGCTGTGGCAAGACGAAAGAGTGAGTCTAACGCACGTGGAGTCATAGGCGAAGTCTAAATAGGAATCAGGTTACGAACTTCGTAAATAACAATAATAGAATAATAGTAATAATGTAAATAAATAATGAGGATAAGGATTTACTTTAAAATTATCACTTTCAACTTCGTTGCGAAGAGAAGTCCATATCCCACAAATATAATCGGCCGCGCGTTTTCCTAATTTAGGTTCTTCCCGACTTTTGGCATATTGAATGTATTTTTGAAGAAATTCAGATGAAAAGAGTCGATCCGACCGCAAATCAGGTTCTTCCTGACCATTATTATTTGCATCTGTCTGTAAATTGTATTGCTGATAAATAGACGTTGGCCTAGCAGAATTTTCGTTTTGTTCCATGAACAATGTTTGTCCAGAATCTTCTTTGATTGGCACTCCTATAGTAACAATTAATGTAAGCAAGAGAATTTTAAATAAAAATTGGTATATAAAATGATCGAAACCTTCTTCCAAATCATGTGGACGGTATTGATGCAAACGCAAAACATGTTGGGAAACATCACGATCATGCCTGTCATTTAAAGTATCGGTGACCACAAAGACAAGATCAAAACGTGAAAGCAAAGAGTCTGGAAGAGCAATATTTTGAGCAGGATTTTTATAAACATCGTACTATTAATTCAAGTTAGCGTAATTGTTTAGTTGTTGTGACAGGATACTATCAATTGGAGGCAAACCCAATTTAACTTACCTGCCCATATACAGGATTAGCCGCTGCAATTACACTACATCGAGCGTTTAATGAGGTATGAATACCAGCTTTGGCAATCGTTACGGTTTGCTGCTCCATTACTTCATGAATGGCAACACGATCGATGTCAGTCATTTTATCGAATTCATCAATACACACTACTCCACGATCGCCAAGAACCATTGCGCCAGCCTCTAGACATCTCTCACCTATAATTTAATCAATCGATATTAAGTACATCTGACAGAATATCTGTTTGCAAACGAATATAATCTTTTTACCAGTCTCTTTGTCTCGAGTAACTGCTGCTGTCAAACCTACTCCCGATGACCCTCGACCAGTTGTAGCAATAGCTAAAGGTGCAATATTAAGTACTCGTCGAAGGAGTTGTGATTTCGCGGTAGACGGATCGCCAACCATCAAGATGTTAATGTCGCTGTTAGAAATCAGAATTATTTCATAATTTAGTAAATATATTATAAAAAATTTTATTTATTGAATTTTAGCTCAAACTTACCCTCTTATATGAGTACCACTAGACAAATTTTGTTCTTTTCCACCCAACAACATAAGCAAAATAGCTTTTTTGATGATATCATGTCCAAATATAGAGGGTGCCAAAGATCTTGAAAGTTTCTCAAATATATTTGGATCTTTCCTGAATTTCTCTATGTTCTCTATATCTTTATCCGTAATCACTTGACGCCCTACATCACCAGAGAGAATGGTGATATTAGTAGCAACAATGACGGTCCTAATAGTTAAAAAACATTGTTAGGGAAGAAAACAATTCATAAAAACAATTTAATCATTATATAACGCACCGAAAAGTCGCGGATGAAGATCCCTGAGCCGGTTTACCAATTGCCCGATAACAACCTGCAAGCTGAATCCGATCTCCGGGTTTCACCTTATCCACTAGATCATCATCTAAAACCACGTCAACTGATCTCAATAGCTGTCCAGCGTGTGCTTTTTCTGGCATTTCCTGAAGACAAATCGTTTGATGATCGCGATACACGGAATAACCAAATTCTGTTGTTAGCGGGTTGCCATTTTCATCTTCCGTAGGGTATCCCGGTGGGGTAGGTACATGGTTTCCTATGGTGGTTGAATCCTGATATTCTTTAAAGTAGAAGACACCAGTCTTTTCACAATAATGAACACTTTTTGCAAGCTTCAATCGAACGAGTGAACCTATTAAGATTGAACAATTAATAAATCAACTGTTTGTGTTATAATAAAATGTCCATATCAATCAACGATACGCACATCTTGAAACGATTCCTTCAATACTAATTAATTTTCCTAAATGAAATGATCTCAATGTTCCTGGATTAATATGGTAGCGAAAATTTCCGGTAAACCCAACGTAGAGACGTTGATCTTCCACATTATGTTTCGTTGGGTCTTGTATATTAATTGCAACTTCTTTGAGTGCTTTTTCAAATGGGGGTATCCATTCATTAGGCAAATCCAACAACCTATATCGCGCCAACAAATTAAATTTAATTAATGCATACTATATAAAAATAAAGCAAAAGCGATATTACCTTTCGGAATTTTCAGCATGATAACGTCTCAAACCATTTAAATTGATTATTAGCCGTTTTTCATTGTTGTCTAGTAAACGTCTTATTTCGGTTCTGTAATTTATATCGCTTTCAGTCTAGAAAGTAAGTCATGTCATTGCTTAAGGAAATATCAATAAAGTGCCTTTGAAAAAACGCGCATAAAGAAATAAACGAAAAAGAATTTATTTCGATTTATATATGCAAGCCAAGCCAAATGAAAAAAGTGTAGAAGAAAAAATCAGGTACTGGCGCGCCAAAAACATTTCCCAAACTCAATAAAGTTGAAGGATACATTAGCTTCCAAGAACTCTTTGAGAAAGCGAACGCGTTCAGTAAACACATCATCTTGAAGTTTTGGCTGTGTTATATTTTTTGCCATGTTTGTATTATATGAACTTCTATCTTGACGGAATGTTCACGTAATAGCGTGCAAGTGGATGTTGATTTAATACGCGACATTCTTGTGTCACTCCACGTGACATAAATACAATAAGATTATTATATTAGAGTTAAATATTTTTCTAGAAAAAAAAAAAAGTTTATATTATAATTAAAATAATTTGATTAAATATTAAAAGTAATAATTTTTTAAATATTAATAAGAAAGTTTGTTTAATAAAATAAACTGTATTTTATTAAAAAAATATATTTAAATATTAATTATTTTATTTAAAATAAAAATTCAAATTCATAAATATATAATTTCTCTAATATAAATATTTATAATAAAATAATTTTTAATGTTTTATAATATTTTATTAAAATATAATTAATTATATATTTAAATAAAAATTTTTAAAAAATTTAAAAATTAAATAGAATTATAGTATTTATTAATCTTAATTCAAAATATTAATAAATATTAATAAAAATATTTTGGTTTTTATAATATTATTAAAAAATCAAAAGTTATTTTATTTTATTTATTTTTTTGGATAAAAAGTGCTAGTAGCATATAAGCTTTATTGAATTATTTATATTCAATTATATGACTATAAGATCTATTTAAATTAATTTATACTCTTACCTATAGCCTTACTCAATTATATCAATTAACCATCCTAAAGATGAATCAATATATCCAGATAGGATATTTAAAAGATAGAAATCCTATTACTAGTTTTAAACTATTTAATTTAATCTAGATCCTGGCAGTAATCATTTAAAGCAAACTAAAGTTCACAAAGAATATTAAATAGAATAGACAAAGAAATATCTAAAAAACAATTGATATAATTTTGTATTTACAAATAAAATAGTATTTCAGCTCTTTCAAAATACTGTTGAATATTGGTATAAGGGGGCAAGACTTGTATAATATATTTCCAAAGATTGAATCAAAATATTTGTATGAGATAGTTTTTTTTATTTCACAAATATTATAGACATCAAGTTTTATATAAGCATCTTAGAAAATCATATTTCCGAGGTTAAAGAGATCATAAAAAGATAATAAAAGTATTAGCAAGATAATAATTCTAAGTATATAAGCTGTCTTGCTTAATCGTTTCTCAATAATCATGTTTTTGAGCTTTTGGATTGACTAGCAAACAGTCTGAATCTAAATTTCATTAAAAATCTTTAAAATATTATTAAAAAAAATGTCGAGAAAAGAATATCAAAAAACAAACAGAATTAAAAGATTTTATGATCAAAGAATGAAATTTTATTTCAAATAGTATGTTAAAGAATTTAATAAGTTTAATGAGACAAAGATATGAATTAATAATAGAGAATAATAGAAAAAGAATATTATATTAAAACTTTTTTAATAAATTTTTTACCTATAAACTATTAAATAGAGTATTTTTAATACAATTTACTTTTGTCGTTACATAATAATCAATTAAGAGACCTGTGAGTCTATAGTACAGTGATCAGTACTTTAAAGTTCAAATCACAAGATATCAGTTCAATCTCAGGTGAAGGTGGTTGAATAAGAATTAATATAATATTTGACATTATGATTTGCTAAAAATACCATTTCTTATAAAAAGCCAATTCATATGCCAATCTGGTAAGCATTAAGATTGTAATTTCTAAAAAAGATATTGTGATGTAATGATCATCTGGTTGATACTATAATGATTGCTGAAAGTGGGAAAAATCAAAAAGGAGTAGAAGATGCTCAATTTAAAAAAAAGATAGCTGGTGATCATTTCTCCATGGTATCTGGTGTCTTTTCCTACAAAGAGTACTTCTTTCTGAAAAAGGTTTTATAATCTGATTTGGATTAAAAGGATTCTTAATTTTCAAAAGTTCTATTTGCCATAATAGATACTATTCTCCAGTTTCTCCTTTACTTTCCTTTAATATATTCATAGTTAAAAATAGAACTTAAGTATGTAATATACTATAAACTAAATTTACAAGCTAATGGAGCTTTGGTATATTAGCTTATGTCTTTATCCTCAAATAAGTTGATAGTAACAAGCTGATATATAAGTTACTTAGATATAATTTTATTCACATATAGTAAACTATATACAATATACTATATAATATGTATAAAGTATTAAATCATCAATAAAGCAAGGTCCAGCTGGTATTTAAATAAATAAATAAATAAATAATAATCAATTATATAATTGTCAATAATTTTTTAATACATTATATAATCTTTTTTTATTAATTATATATATTTGTAGTAGTGCTTTCAAATATGTTAAAAATTTTTTGATTTTTTTAAAGGAATTTTGCCTATTTTAGTTTGACCCTGAATTTTTTATTATATTAGAAATTCTGGTTGGTGATTGGTTGAGATCTTAAATTGATTGATCAGCATATAAAAGAAATATAAACAAGATACATACCTTATATATTCCATATTATAATATATTATAATTGATAATGCAATTGAATATAACAAAAAAGCAAAATGTTAAGATATTCTATTAATAAGAAATAACTTGAAATTATTTCTTTTTCTTTTATGCTAGTTTCTTTTTTCTTCAAAAATAAAAAAGATTCTCATTAAACTAATAATTTATTTAAATAAATTTTTATTTTATCATACTTTTTCTTTTTATCTTCTTAAAAAAATAAAAAATTTTATATCTTAGAATTATAAAGGTTAAGTTGAAATAACAGTTTTAATGAAGGGCTAACTGTAATATTTTAAATAAACAAGAAATATTTTTCTTTAATTAAACAATCTTTTTATTTTCTTTAATCACATCTAAAAGTTATTAGCTATTGATAGATATACCATATAGCAATAATAAGTTTTTATCAATAATATATATATTTATATAATATTTATACTAGAGTTACTTATTTCAAGAGTTTAAAATAAATATAAGTAGTATATAACTTAATTAGATATAAATATATGTAATTATTTTCGAAGGTGGATTGAAAATTTTCTGTATTATAATTATAATCATTATATATATGTTGTTTAAAAGTAGGGTTCAAAAAAATCATATCTAATATTTTTGTCATTTTCAAAAATAATTACTCATATATATATATATAATTCTTTTTATTAATTTCTTTGTCAATTAAAAAAAAACAGATGTTCTTAAAAATATTTTTTATTTTTGATAATAAAATCTATATACTTTTTTTAATATTTTACTTTTTGAGAACTGATATTTTCTTCATTTGTCTACCTTTTCTTTTTTAAAAAACTTTATATATTCTAATAACAAAATAAACAAAACTTTATTCATTTAATTTATGGCAAGAATATCTTATTGGAAAGAAAAACTTTATTAAAAAAATATTCTTTATTGTATTCTCCTTAGATTTGAAACTCTAGAAAATAAGTTACTAGTAAATATATTTTTCAAGTTTTATAAGAATCTTGGATTCATCATAAGTGAATATCTAAGGTTTGAGGCAAATGGATAAGTTAGTAAGAAATTTATTTAAATATTTAATCTTTTTTTATTAATTATATATAATTATAGTAGTACTTTCAAGTTTATCAAAATTTTTTTGTTTTTTTTAAGGAATTTTGCCTATTTTAGTTTATTTTTAAATTTTTTATTATATTAGAAATTCTAATTAGTAATTGGCTAAAATCTTAATCTGATTGATTAATATATAAAAGAAATATAAATAAGACATATATTCTCATATATTTCATATTATACTATATTATAATTAATAATGCAATTAGATATAATAAAAGAGTAAGATTTTTTTTTTTTTTTTTTTTTTAAGCTAAGTGTGATACGCATACAACTTTATTAATTATTTGCAGATTTTATATAGTAATTACATGAACAGTCTATTTAACTGACGCTATTCACTTATTTTTACCCAAATACCAACTTATATTTCGTAGATGGATCCATACTTAGGTTTGTATTAAGTCTCCTTACTTGTAAATATAAGGTAAGGAAAATCCTGTCCAACAATTGAAAACCTTCCCAATGGTTTTCTTTTCAATTTTTATGACCCAATTCTCTCCCACGAATGGGTCACTAATTCAAATTGTACTAATATCAAGCAGAATACTGAAGATTTAATCAGATTTTGAAGGCTGCTGAACCAGTTTGGGGAATATGACTAATTGGGTACGATTTATTCAAGAAGCCATTCAAGCTGAATAAGAAGGTTTGTGCTACGAAGTCTGCCATATCCAGAGGGGGTTGTGGGTTTTTATCGGAGCTAGATCAGAAGTCTTTCCTCATGTAACCTTTTTACTTTGATCTATTTTTAGCCCACGATCATCAGAAAGACCAGAGGTCCCATTTTTATGCAACTTAACTAAATTTAGTCAGGATCTGAATATTTGGGTATGACATTTGTGACAATCCGATAAACCTATAAATAAAGGATAAATTTTATACATTTTGTCCCCTGTGGATATTGAACCAGAGATATATATTTAAAGACCATAGAGTATTACCTATTATACTATTGACCCACTGATCTTAAAAGTAAGATATTAAAATATTTTATTGATAAAAAGTAACTTAAAGTTTTTTTACTTTTCTTTTATATTGATTTCTTTTTTCTTTAAGATTAAAGAAATTTCTTATTAGACTAGTGATTGATTTAGATAGGTTTTTATTTTATTAATATAAACTTTCTCTTTTATTTTATTTTTTTATCTTTTTAAAAAAATAAAAATTTTTATATATTTTAAAACTATAAAAGTTAAGTTAAATAACAGTCTTAATAAAGGACTGACTGTAATATTTTAAATAAACAAAGAATATTTTTCTTTAATTGAACAATTTTTTTATTCTTCTTAATTATATTTAAAAGTAATTGGCTATTAACAAGTATATTATATAGAGTTAATAAGTTTTTATTAATAGTATATATATTTATATAATATTTGTACTAGGGTTACTTATTTTAAAAGTTGAAACAAATAAATATAAGTAATATATGGCCTAATTAGATATAAAAATATATATA